CTGCCTTTAGGGTTTCCCAGTTCCTCTCCTGCGTCTGATTCTCCCACCCTTGGAACCAACTCAGGGCTTTGTCTTCCATGGCCACTACCGCTACATTGACTTTTTCCTCTTCCTCGATATAGTTAAGTCTGAAGTAGCGATCAATTCTGATTAACCAGCCGTAAGCATCTTCTCCGTTGAATAACGGCAGATCAATTTTCCTCCCTGTTCAGCGATGGATATCCCGTTCCCTGTGACGGTGGTGTTGGCGGTACGTTGCAGAGTAGTTATCATCCCCTTCTGAACCATCCGAACTCCTGGAATGGCGTGAGTGATGACTGCGCGATGTGCGATGCGATGTCGAAGAAGTGTGCGATCTACTTCGCGATCGGTTTTGGCTTTTCTCCGCCAAACGCGCAATCGCTGCCCGAATCTCCGCAATATCCGTCGCCATAGCAGTGTTTGTTGCCGCGAACTCATGTTGATTCCTCTCCAGATCATTTAATCTTCCTTCCATCGTAGCGCGCGTAAATCTCATCTAGGGATCTACGTGCTCTGATACCACTGATAGAACACAACCAGATCACAGAAAGAATAGAAGAGAATTATGAGGAAATAACCAACAAATTTATTGAGATGATCAAGCAACCAAGGCCGAAGCTCCCAAAAGAAAGAGACAATAAATCTCTATCTTCCCAGTCCTGACAAATTCCGTCATAACAGCCTGCCCACTCCCCCAGCCTTATTTCTATTTATAGTATTCTTAAAACAGAAAGTGATTATTCATTTAATAACAAAAAAAGAACCCCAGACTCGCAGCTTATTTCCTCCTTCTCGAGTACACCCTGCCAAAATGTTTATCACCAGTGTTCGGATTAGATGGGTCTCTATCACCCCCTCCGTCCAATAAGTAAAAAGAATAATGTTTGGTGAATATACTATTTTTGAATTTTCGAAAGGCACAGCTGTCATAAATAATGAATACATTTTTTTACATATATGTATTTCCCTCATTTGCAATGGAGCCAAAGATTCATTATTTTTTGGCTTGAGATTATGATGGAATAAAGCAAAATGGCTCACTAAACTGTCTGCGCTTCTTTGTTATGGAGTAGCAGTCAGTACATGCAATTTTGGACACGATTTTCACTATGGCTCATCCGGAAACAGTCTCTCTGTGCTTTAGTACAGGGGTAAGACTGCGTACATCCGACCCCCCTTACCTCACCGTAGGTGGGAGCCTTTGCGGCACTGGGGTAAATGAAAATGATGAAATGATGTATTTACCTTCGTGGCTTAACTAACTTTTTTACATGTAACTTGTCGATGATTTTTTTAAACTAGTTTTGTTTAAACAACATCACTCTTTTTTAGAACAAAAAGGTGCTTCAAATTGGATTCTTTGTTTGGGACGGATGGAGTATTACTTTTGGTGTTCTTATGAATATTACTACCTTGAACCTATTAGTAATCAGAAATTGAATAGTCCTTCCTTCCAAGAAATAATCATGTCACCAAGGTGCAACTCTTAGTAATCATTCATATTTTTAACTACACTGTTTCAACTAAGTTTAACTTTTTTGGGTCACTTTTTTAAAAATATGCATTAAATCTGACCAGAATTAGCTACTTTTGTTCAGCTATGACTTTTGAGGGCAGTTCTTTTGAAGAAGACAGAGTTCACCAACAGGAGTGCTTATTAAGTTATTATTATTATTTGACCAACACCTACCCCCAAATGAAGGGTGTGGGTAGTGGGAACTAAAATGGAAGTACTTCTCTCCCTCTCTCCCATTTCGTAGTTATTTTTAACCAGTCTCGCTTGAATAATTATGCAGATGTGAGATGAAGTACGTCATTTTAGAAATGGATCGTGTTTTGAGACCAAATGGGTACGCATTAATCCGTGAGTCCAGCTATTACATAGATTATCTCATGACCATGGCCGCAGGAATGAGATGGAGCTGCCGCAAAGCAGACACAGAATACACTGTAGACAAGGAAAAGGTAATGATTTGCCAGAAGAAATTGTGGTATTCTTCTGGGCAGATATAAGAGGGAGATAGCAAAGAGAATAATAGCAATACCCTTGAGATATATAGAGCAACCTATAGATGAGGACAGTACTATGTGATATGCTGTATATCCGTCTATTATAGTCAAGTATGCTTTTTTTGGGTGTTACCGTCATACTCGTTCTCTATACACTCGCATGTTTGTATATTATACTACATATATTATATGTAGGGTTTATATGAAATGAGAATTCCAACATATAATGAGAAGGGAAATGGTCAAGGCTATGTTATCTGATACCTGGAGGCAAGAGCTAGAGACCGATGTCTAAATTGAGAGAAAATTAAAGACTGTCTAGAGTTGAACTTTGATGTGCTCAATCTGAACCACTAGTTGAATGAAGCTAACCCTTTTGGCAAAACTAGCTAAAAACCACTAAAGGGAAAATAACATTAACGTTTGGCTTAGTATTTGAATTTCTGGTAACCTAGCCATTTGAATGTGACTGTAGAACCGATTAAAAAAATTGTGGAACTGGAATGTATTTGTTAAAGATTAATTCTCAAAATATGAAGCTATAAATCTATCAATCATTATACATCACCACAGTGGCGGAGCCAGAAATCTATGGTTAAGGAAGCCGATCCTTAAAAATTTTACATTGCAGGGGCTAAAGTTTAAAATATAAACATATTTTCTATAGTATATATTATGTATAATATATACTTAAGAATTTTTTTCTTGTAGGGGCCGAGGCCCCCTCCAGCCCCTCCCTGTCTCCACCTCTACACCACCGGTCAATACGGAGTAATGTTTTTCTTATATGGAATATGGATTTGCATGTTCTGCGATGTATCAAGCTATAACTACCATTCTTTCATTCATCTATTATTGCATTCAAATATTGCAATGCATCAACAACCCTGATAAACATCGTCATAAGCCTATATCCGCAAATCCATTAGGGTGTGATTGGGAGTTTGATTTTGGAGGGGAGGGGAAGGGGTGTGAGGGTTAATCACCCCCCATTTTGTGTTTGGGAGTTTTTTAAAATGGAAGGAAAGTCTTTGGGGTTTTTTTAAAATCCTCGTAAAACCCTCAAACATCCACTTTTCTAATTCCCCCGAATCGGGAGGTTTAGAAGGATTAAACGTACCCTAGCTCCACAAACTACAATTCTGCTCTACGAACCCAGCTCTACGAACGACTCTCTGCTCCACAAATGACTACTGTATCCCGCTAGGAACCCTATCTTTTTCTCTGCTCGAAATTCTTCGCTTGGAATCATTGCGGCTTGAAGTGGATCCTCTGCTATCGACACCATACTTCACTATTTCGCCTAAAATTCTCAGGTATGTTCTGTTTTCCAAGCATTTTTCGTATTTTGTTGTTATCTGCTTCACTCTATCTCCGCTCAACATCTGGCCTCTCTGTCTCTCAATCGTATTTGATTGTATTTCGCATTCTCAGATTGATTCAATTTTTCTTTGGATTTTGTGTGAGATATGGATTTTATATTTGGTATTTAGCTAGTCATGTGCTTCTTCGCATGTTTTTTGCTTTAATTTGTTATTTGTTTGCATGGAATCACTGTTGGGTTTTTAGATTTGAGATTTTTGATATTTTTTTAGTTTGAAACTCCAGATTTCAATGAGTTTAGATATTGTTTGAGTCTTCTATACATCGATTGAGCAAGCATTTTACCCTATTGTATATGTATGAGTGAGCTGACTATCATCGCTATTGTATACACTGATTTAAAATGCCCTTTGCTGCTGAGGAATTTGCCTCCATTATATTTAAAATAGAGTAGTTTTTAGTAATGGAAAATTGAAAATGAAATATGAGTGAGCTGGCTATCAGTGTGTGCTAAATGGAAAATAAAATGAAGCACAAATCTCTAAATATAACTTTTCTTGAGTTTTAAGTGGAGTTGTTTTGAGTAATGAAGAGATTAGAAGGTAATTTTTTTAACTTTTCCTCTAACACTAAAAACTGCTAAATTTCTTGATTCTAAAAATTGCTAAATTTCTTGATTGATTACAACTACTGCATTTAAAACAGGAATTCAATAAAAGATATTGTATATTAAAAGTCAAAATACATGAACAAAGCTAAACTCCTTTTGTATCAAATACACTAATTGGAGGATACATTTACTACCTTTAGAAGTTAATTTACGATATTCAAATTCAGAGAAACCACATAATAGAAGCTTGCTATCATTCGCTACTGCAGCTCACTCATATTTAATTTCATATTACCTGAGTTTAATTCTTGAAACTGCGTTGGAGGCAAATTCCTCAGCAGCAAAGGGCATTTTAAATACAGAGTGCAGAACCTAAACTCTATCAACCAACTAGATAGTGACTAAGTGTAGAGTTGGTTCTTTTTTAGCTTCATCTGGTAATAATCTACACAGTATACGAAGTATATATTTCAAAATAAACTTACCAGACCGTTAGTTTTCAGCCCACTTCGAGTAAAGCCCCTCCTATAAACTATCATGCATTTTTACTTATTTCTGTTTGGTGGATTGTTCTTATTTCAAATGAAATTAGATTTTTTGTTGTTGCAAATTAAAGTTTCTGTATTCCAGATTTCCTATGCTCATTTTTATAATAACATTATGTGTATTTCCATTTTTAAGCAATCTTTTAGCTTATTCTAAGATATATGTCATGTTTCCTTATTACTGTATCGTTTACTGCTCACATTGCTTGTGGCCAGATAATACAACTACTCTTTTTTATATCATTTTGTGGTGGATAACTCAGAGTGTGAATCTATTTACCCATTTATATCATTTTGTGGTGGATTACTATTGGTGTTTGTGTTTAGTGTTTACTACTTTAGCTGATTCCATTGTGTGTAGGATTCTCTTTAAAAACGCTTCATATTATTTGAACCTAAGATTTCACTCTCATGGCCTAAGCGAGTCTAAAGACATTACTTCATTAGATTTTGAGATGAACAAACAAAATACCAATCAAAATTTTTAATGAAAAAAACAGTCCCTAGCTAGCATTGTTAAGTGTTTGCTTTTTACTAGAAATATGTTAGTGCAGAATTGTTGGAAGAAATTTAGAAATAGCAAGCTTAGGGTGCACTTTTTCTGTAGTACAAAAGTCTATTTTCCCTCTTTCAATTTTTACTAACATATTATTAGAATTCTACTTCATATAGATGGATGGTGCACGCATATTGGATTTGCATAGAAAGATACAAAGACTGCAAATGGCTACAATTTATGTTGTATGCATTGTAGTTTATCATTTCATAACCAAAAGTGCTCGAAATAGAATACCAAGTCATGCTCTAATCATAGAGAGAGAGAAAGAACGAACTAAAACAATGAAAAAACTTGATACTAATGAGGGTCGTAAAATAATTAGAATGGGTCCAAAAGCTTTTATGGACCTATGTGCCATGCTACAGAGTGAGGGTGGTCTTTTGCCAACACAACGTGCGTGTGTAGAGGAACAAGTGGCAAAAACCCTCCATATCCTAACACACGGTATGAAAAGTCAAGTGGTTCAGTTTTGGTTTCAACGTTCCGGTGAAACTATAAGTCGCCATTTTCATCGTGTGCTTAAATCAATTATTTCTCTAGAGGGAAAGTATCTCAAACAACCGGATGGCTCACTGATACCTTCAACAATTCTAGGGAGCAGTCGATTTTATCCTTATTTTGAGGTATAAATTATTTTAATTTTTTATTTAGAAACATAATTTTCCGATAAAATAATTAATACAATAAATTCACACTTTTAGGATTGTGTCGGGGCAATCGATTGTACCCATGTCCGTGTAAGAGTTCCATCAGCTGATGCTCCTAGATACCGAGGTAGGAAAGAATTCCCAACACAAAATGTGTTGGCTGCGTGCTCTTTTGACTTGCAATTTACTTACGTTTTGGCCGGGTGGGAGGGAACTGCATCAGATTCAAGGATTTTAAGAGATGCATTAAGCCGAACAAGCTGTTTGAAAATACCGGAAGGTAATTAAAATGTTTTTTATTATTACTATACACGTGCTCATATATAAACGTTATTAATAACACTTTTTAATAGGTAAATATTACCTTCTTGATGCTGGGTTTATGCTAAGAAAAGGACTCATTACACCATTTAGATCAACACGTTATCACTTGAAGGAATGGTCCTCAAGAAATCCACCTCGAACAGCTCAAGAACTATTCAACCATCGACATGCATCCTTGCGTAATGCCATTGAGAGATGCTTTTCTATTTGGAAGAAGAGATTTCCTATTATTGCGACTGGAAGAGAAGCACACTATGGCGTGAAGACACAAAATAGGATTATCATAGCATCATGCATTTTGCACAACTATCTCATGGTATCGGATCCTGATGAAGAGTTAATGGCTGAAGTTGATGCAGACATGGCCAATCAAAATGAAGCTCAAATTTCTAGTAATGTGGAACACAACGAGATTGAAGAACATACTCATTTAGGAGAGAACTTGAGAAATGCTATAGCTAATTCTATGTGGGCAGATTACATGTCGTGATGTTTATTTTTTGATTAGGAGTGAACTTGAGAATTGTTCTATGGTTGTTTCAAACTTGAAAGATATTTTGGCTTTTTGATTGTGTTGATTGATAGTTAAATGCTTGTCATTGATGCATAGTTTATTTTAAATCAGATGTTATTATTAAATTTTTTCTTAGAACTAATATAATGGATCTATAGAGATGGAAAGTAATGCAACTACCAGTTCTGAGAGTGTGAAGACAACAATAAAGAAGTACACGATGGACAGAGAGATATGGACAGCAGAAATGGACAATGAACTTGTTAATTCATTCCTACATCAACACAATGAAGGGAATAGAGTGAGCGGGACATTCACCACAAAGGCTTACATGTCAATCACTAGTGACTTGCAAAATAAGTTCGGAAGACCTTTCAAGAAAGATAAGGTGAAGGGGAGATGGAAGTTACTAAAAAGAAATTTTACAAAGTGTTATGATTTATTCAAAAATCTCAGTGGCTTTGCTTGGGATCCAATCTCAAAACGTTGGTTGGCTGAACCTGAAGTCTGGAAAACACTAGTAGAGGTACAACAAAAAGTTCTCAAATTTAACTAAACTTTATTTTTCAGCTTATTTTACATATTGAAATTATTATGAAATTCTAAGTTCTCTTATTTCAATAAAATTTATTTAATAGGCTCACCCCGATGCTGAAGAGTGGATGAGGAAACCGATTGCGAACTACGACAAGATGGTGATTATATGTGGAGAAGACCGAGCATACGGAGGGATGTCAGAAACCGGTGAGGATATTAGGAATGATAAATCATTTGGTGCAGATTCGATTGAGACTAGTGATAGTTTACAAGAAGGTGTCAATGATGTTGATGTCACATCACCTCAGATCAGAGTCCGAGATGAACCTAAGTCCAAGCGGCCAAAGAAATCCAAGGATAACGTTGAAGATGGAGGAGTAACCGCAGCACTTATGACGATTGCTGAAGCTTTTAAGGATAGCACTTCTGCGCTTCGTGAGAGCACGTTAGCTTATGAAAAATCTCATCAAAAGCTTCCGATTTCTGAAGTTGAGCTTTGGAAGCTTTTGGAGGATTTGCATATTGAAAATCATTTGATCAACCGAGCATATCTGTACCTTCTCAACAATCCTGATATGATCAAAGGACTCATTGGATGCCCGAAGAATAAACAGAAGGAGTTGCTTATTGAAATGGTGTTTGGTCCACCGGCATCTACTACCAGGTTATCTTAATATGTTTTTAAGGACTTTAGTTTTTTTAGTATACTATTAATTGATATTGATGTTTTTTTGGCAGTTTATGTTATCAATAATTTTGATATATGCAGTTCCTTTGATGAAGATGTTTGAGATTGTGAGATTTTTTGTTTCGTGTTAACTTTTAAAAATGATAGTTTATTTGATAATGTGATGAATGTAATGATGTCATTCTTTGACAAAGGTGGTAATTGAGAGTGTAAGATTTTTGTTTGTTGTTAAGTTATTAAAATTATAATTTTGATAATAATGGTAAAAGTGATGATAAATGTATTTCGTTTATTTAATTATTGCTTGCAAGTTTCGGATATTATATTAACGAATTTTTCTATTTGGTTGCAGGCCATATTAGTGAAGGCAAGTGTGTGTGAAAGTCGAGCTTATTTGGAGTGCATTGACTTCTTTATGTTATTGATTGGAATGCGCTAGATTAATATAACTGCAAGTACTTGAAATAAAATGTGAAACATAATACGCTGAGATAATGTTGTCCTATAATTGTCGAAGTTAATTGTCTTCTTTTATATTTTCATTTTTCATTTCGCTTTAATTTTTTCTCAAAAGTATGGGTATATAGTAAGATTTTAGATATTTTATACTTCAATTATTTTAAATATTAAACAATTTTTTTTTGAATAAAATAATTTTTTGTTTGCTGAAGTGAAATTGAAATGTGAATTTAAATAAACATTATGATGTTTTACTTATACAATGAGAAGGGGTACATGTGTCATTTTAATTATATGTCCTCCAAAACCCTCCTCTTTTGCAATTTGTAACTCCCAAACAAGAGGAGGGAATTCCTTCCCATCTCCCTCCCCTTCCCTTCCCTCTACTCCCCTTCAAAGCCTTTCCCTTCCTTCACCCTCAAACTCCCAAACACACCCTTACTGCATTTGACCATGTTTTTCTATATAGTCAAGTACTGCCACTACTGCATTTGAAAAACAGGCTTATGATAAAGTTTCACTTTAGTGTTCTATACAGATTTTCAAATTCACATTAATTGTGCTCTTATTTAAGAGAATTTTCGATGTAATATTACTTTGACACCACTGTCGGAGATTTTATTGAAATAAAGCTCAATTGTTATACTACATGGTCCTTCATTATTTTATAAACAAATGATGTGAATTATTAAGATGATGTTATTTAAATGTACTCCCTCCGGTTCCTATTAAAGTTCTCAGTTTGACTTCATACAGATTAAGAAAATAAATTTGACTTTACTGTGGAGTGCACTGTTTGGCACTGTTTGGACACTGTTTGGCATTGTTTGGCATTGTTTGGCACTGTTTGGCACTGTTTGGACACTGTTTGGCACTATTTTGTTTCCTACAATGGAAGTGTGAACTTAAATAAGGTACATCCCAAAAAGGAAAGGGAGAACTTTAATAGGAACCGGAAGGAGTAATTATTATTATATATTATGAGAACATTCTGTGCACATGTGATCTCATAATGATTATAATAATATTATTTTAATATGTTATCTCATTTTCTATATACTCATTTATTTATTAAAGTACTACGTACTAATTTTGAAAGGCTTTTGTGGCAGATGCAATTATGGATAAAGAACAATTTTAAATGTTATATTAAAAGTGCTTCTAAAAGGATGTGTACATATCCTTTGGTATTGCCGCACCTTTTCGTTTTGTTAACTGCCGATTTGCGGTTGAAATTGAGATACACTCCTATTAAGAGTTATCATTTTATCTATAAATACAAGGACCATGTTGAATTGTGATTGACGGAAAAATTTTCCGAGTGTATCATCTCATATATCCACACTTTATTACTTATATCTGCAGTATTTGTATTAGAGTTTTAGACCACTTTAAATACAAATAACTTGTTAAGTGTTATTTTATTTGTGGCTAAAATACACTTGTCCACCTTCTTTTTATCCCAAAAGTTTTATCTTGTAACCCGGTTATTGTTATAAGGATAGATAGTAAACTTTTAGGAAAGCGTATTTTATACGTGAGTAGAAGTGATATCCGGTCCAACCATATTTATACACCCTTATAATTATACTAATATTACCCCCCTTTCTAACAATCTAAAAGTTTACTAGTCCGAAAATATGGCCGCTACTCAACGTGATATCATCAACACCAATTTTCAAAAATCGGAAAAGTTTGAAGGTGTGGAGTTTCGGAGGTGGCAGAAAAAGACACATTTTCTGCTCATTACTTTGAAAGTGGTCTACATGTTTAGCACCCTGAGGCCGCCTGAGGAAGAAGAAAACGAGTCGTTGGAGACAACCCGCCGCCACATAAAGTGGGATAATGATGACTACAATTGTCGTGGGCACATTTTGAACGGTACGTGCGATTCACTTTTTGATGTGTATCAAAATTTTGAATATGCTAAAACGTTGTGGGAATCTCTAAAATCTAAATATATGACCGAAGATGCTTCAAGTAAGAAATTTCTCATTAGTAACATTAATAGTTACAAAATGGTGAATTCTCGTCCGGTCATGGAGCAATATCATGAGATTCAACGTTTGTATGATCAACTTTTGATTCATAACATGCATGTTAATGAAACCTTTGCGGTCGGTTCAATAATCGACAAATTACCACCTTCATGGAAGGAAGTGAAAAATAGCCTCAAACGCAAAAAGGAGAATTTGTCAATGGAGCAACTTGGTCGCCGACTTCAAATTGAAGAAGGCATTAAGTTGCGTGAAGGTGACAATGGTAAAAAGAACGATCTTCCAATTTCCTCTATAATTGTTATGGAGGAGGGACAGTCAAGTGGGACTAAGAAAAATAAAAAACATCCCGGGAAATTCACCAAAGGTTCCAAGTTTCAAAAGAAGCCGAAAGATAAGAAAGTAGGCTCTTATTGGGAATGTGGTGGTCCACATTTCAAGAGGGACTGCCCGAAGGTGAAGAAGAAGAAGGCCCAATCGAACGGCCATCCAAACGATGGCCAAGACAACCAAGGTCAGAATCTTTTTATAGTTACAAATGATGTTGATAACAACATGATTTTTGTAGCTATGCTTTCTGAAATTTGTGTTGTGCAGGATGATGAATCTTGGTGGATCGACACCGGAGCAACAAGGCATTGATGTAAAGATAGACAAACTTTTAAGACTTTAAAAGAGTTGCAAGAGGGGCCGATCTTATACATGGGAAATGACTCTACTGTGCAAATTCAAGGAATTGGGCAAATAGAGTTGGAATTAACTTCCGAAAAGAAATTAATTCTTAATGATGTGTACTTTGTACCACAAATCCGGAAAAATCTTGTCTCCGGTGGCATCCTAAATAACTTTGGGTTTCAACTTAGCTTTGAAGCAAATAACTTTGGGTTCTTATGACTCCCCCGGCCTATCTGGTAGAGGTTCATGAATAGAGCCGTCGTCGGCCGGAAACCCAACTTATCGCAACGTAGGAGGAACCCAACGATGAGAGAGTAGCTGTTCGGCGTCAACAAGGCCGGAGGGAGCCCTACCATGTCTAGGTACTCCGTGATGAACGGGTGAAGCGGGAACCGAAGTCCTTTGGCGAAGCTCATCAGGTACACTCCAAAGTATCCCGGGGGTGGATTGAGAACATGGTCCGTCAGCCTGGGAGCCCTAACCCTACCAAACGGCCCCACGTACATCTACGCGACCAATTATTCACCCGCGTTGCTCTGCGGCCTGATGATGTAAATGTTGGTGAGATCTAGATAAGAAAAGGCCGGTCCCTTCTTCGGCCTCCTCACCCTTTTCGGCACCGCTGCACCTTTGATGGAAGATACGGGCTTCGGGCATGGAATGGCAACCGACGTGGACGCCCTGTCCGCAGTTCGGGAGACTCCCGCGTCCCCACCTCCCGATGATGAAGCAGACTCCTCGTCCTCACCCTCCTCGTTGTCCTGCTCCCCCGACTTGAACGAGCTCAGATTTTCAATCTCTTCACAGAACTCTTCGACCACTTCGTAATCGAGGGACTAGGCGGAGGGCTTATCGTCGTAAGGGTAGTACTCTTCGTCTAAGTTCTTCATCATAACGACTATTACATGCCTAACGGGAACTACCTCAGATCTAAGGTGCTTCGTGACTAACACTAGATCAAAGGCCTAGGAAGCAAAGTAGGCAAAATACAGAGGAAAATTCGATGAACTAACATTTGAAGTTTTGAAGAACCGGAAGAACACCTCAAGAACTTTCTCTCTCTAAAAATTTGGGCAGCACCTCGGTAGCTCAAATAGCAAATGGGGGACTTCCTTCGTAAGGGAGGGGTATTTATAGCCCCCCCCCCCCCCCCCACGGTCACTACACGTGGTACCTCCCCAGTGGTGACACCAACGGTCACCGCCCCAAGAGCCAATGAGGTGCCACCCCTTCGGGAATGGGCCAGGCCCACGAGCTAGCCCACCTAGAAAGGTAAAATCTACGGCTCACACGGACAAACGAGAGGCCACGACGTCCGGAACATCATCGGCCCTATGAGACAATCAATGCCACTACAACGGCCAGCGGCCCCATGCACGCCCTTAATGGCAATAGGATCGAAGCAGGAAGTAACCCCACAACCATCGGCCTCGCATAAAACCCTGATGATAATTTCTTGAAAGCGACCTGCGTCCAAGGGTTCTCCCACAGGGTTACCTTGGTCAGGAAATCACCAAGGAATTGGATTCAGGGGAATGCAAGAGTCCGCTTCGGCCTAGGGAAATCCTTTACTCCTTCACCTCTCGCTTACTCTTCGGCCTGAAGTAGTGGGGGACTGGGGGACTACACCGGCCTTTGAAAATAAGGAAGACAAAATCAAAGAAGCCCAAAAAATCTTAAGTCCACAAATACAACATCACATATGCACCACAACGTCCATGACCTCGTGGTGCATCATCGGCCACAGCTAGGTCAGCAAAGGAAAGAATGCTCTCCAAAGATACAACACTACAGGACACTCAACGGCTTCGAGACGGCATGTTCCACTCACGGCCAGGGATTAAAACAGGAACTCAACGTCTCCAGATCACCGTCGTCCAAGAAACCAAGATACGCACTACGCCTACCGTATTAGTGCCGCTATCATCCTCAAAAACATGGACACCAAGTTACAGATGCCACCACTCAGGCCAAAAGCACATAATGCAACCAACTACGGCTAAAAGGAAACGAATAGTACCCTCACCGGCTACCCGAGGACAGAGAGACATTCATCATCCTCGAACATGAGATACCCACAATGGTCTCCTCGGCCTCGTCCGTGGAATACAATTGTCAATGGTCAGGAATAGGAGGGCACCGCCTTCATTGGCCACTCCTATCAGAGAACGCTCATCGTCCTCAAGTAGAGAATAGCATCGTCTACGACTAGGGTCCTACTCGTCCGCAGCAAAGGTCACACAACGGCCAGAACGTAGAACACCCGTGACAACAAAAATCAAGGACCACTGCAAAGGCGCCCATAACGGCCAAGGTTCCACAGCGGCCCCAAAATGGACAGGAAAAGCCAAACCACAGAA